CCCATTTCTCTTTCTTGCTTTTGACTCCTATATATAATCAGGAAATGAAGTGAATTTAGGTAAGAATATAAATATATGCATTTACGTACGTGATTTTCAGTCATTACATCAAATACTGTGGGATTATAATCAACAGTATAGACATGCTATTTTTCAAATTCAATATAATTATAAATCACTATACCAATCCTAAAACACTTTCTCAAAAAAGATGAAATAGTCTAGTGGCATTCATGTTCCTGAATACACAAGACACTGTGTGCCTATGCCCTCGCAAATATAGACTTCTGATTCAGCCCCAGTTTGGTGGGGATTTAAATCAAATTTTAGTAGGTATTAATAAAAGTTGATGAAACTATGTGGTTGAAAAATTATGGGTCCCAAATAATGTATGGTTAACATTAATTGTTGACTTTGACTTAGATTAAAATCTGAATTTCAATTTTCACCAAACAAGAGCTCAATCAAAGCTACAATAGTGCCTCTTTTCACTTCAAAATGCTACATTTCTAGTCCATGCTTTTGATCTCTACAAACTATCCTTCCCCAGAAATTTAAACCTAAACGAATTCAAATATGACATACAATGCATATAACATGCCTAAAATTCAAAACTGACAGCATCAAAAACACAATTACTATAATAAAATTTTACCAGATCAAATGGATCATAGATCAAAACTGTATAAACAAATCAAAATATAGACTACCATTAAACCCTTGCACAATTTCATAAAAAAATTAAAATTGAATTCTACAATCTCAAAAATACTGTTTTTAATCAAGCAGGTAGACAATTACATTAAAAAATGGAAATTTTCCACTGGATCGAAAAGGTTTGAATGCTAAATCTTGAGATCAGATCATAAAAATACGTAGAAAAACTCAATTACTCGTAACCTTGGTTCCGCAAATTTAACTCAAATAATAAAAAGAAGCTTTCAATATACAAACATTTCCAACTCAAAAAACAAAAACATAATAAAAATATGTCAGAAAAGACCTATATAAACATCAATAACCAGCAGACAAAACTCAAAATATCTAAACAAAAATATTAAATAAAAAAATTACTTCTAGGTAAAATCATATCGAATAAAATGTATTTAGAGATTATAGATATACCTGAAAAATTAGTTCGGACGCGAAGTTAGAGAGAGAAATATGGAGTTGCTTGAGATTAACGCATTTTTCAGGGATTTATAATTGTTTTGGAAGGATGAAAATTTATGAACCATCGGACATTTAATATTTTATTTATAGTGGAATTAGATCCTTGGTTATTTATATTTTATTTAGGGGAAAGTTCGTCTTGGTCCCTCTCTTCAATTTTTATCCTATAATTCAACTTAATCCTACTTGATTATGGAAAACGAAACTTTTTGGTCAAAAAGTAAATTCAAATGAGTGAATTAAGAACTTTAAATTTGACTTTATGCAATCCCGACTCCGTTTTATTTAAGGCAAATTAACTGCTGATTAAGAACTGGGAAAGTGTAGGGTTGGTCATGCATTTTGTTGGTGATGAATGGAAGGTTTTGGTCATAATTACCGACGAAATTATCATATTGAAACAAGATCGTAAGTAGCATGATTAAATTGTAACAAATCTAAGCTAAATAGCCAAAATGAGATCAAATCTTAAGTTGGTTCAGCTCAAAGAAATCGTCATTTTTAAGTGAGTAAAGCTATTTAAAACCACTCTATATGAATAATGTTATTTGCAGTCGTTAACTATCGTAGTCGTTCTACAAATAGTTAACCACCACATGTATACTAATGTAACTACTCAAAGTAGTTTATTAATATGCCCTTTTTTTTTTTCTATATTTATACTTATTTATTTATACAATTTAATACGGTGCCTGATTCACTTTGTTCAATTCTTGATCATTTTACATGTTTTGATTTCAGGAAAGTGTTGAGTGCTATTTTATTAAAGCAAACCAAGGCCATGGACAAAAATCGACAACAAAATTAGCCGTTCACCTTGCAAGAGCTTTGACCCGAGACTGCCCTGAAAAATGTGGCCAGTCTAGATACCATTATACTGGGGGCACCCCAGGCCAGTTTAAGAGAGCATCATTCACCATTTACATTAATCCAAACTATAATTTTACAAACACAATGCTTTGATTCAACAGAATATAAATGATCTGAAAGCTATACAATAAACATCGAAGAACAGAAGACTGTACAGTTGTATTCTGTTTTACCACGAACCAAGCCGGGAGCTTTTCAGCTACACAAGTCCGGAAAATTAAAATTATCTAGTTTGACGATTTTCAAGCAAGCACGGGGATGGCACTCACAGATTCGTGAGCCCATACGATCCAGGATACAGGATCCAGGAAGTGGAATTTATCTTAAGTCTTTATTCTGAGATAATTATATCCATAATCTGCAGAATAAAAGGTGGGTGGGCATATGTTCAGCTGACCTGTATTGCACCTCAAAGAATGTTTTGAGTCTTGTTAGCGCCAATACTGAGCCCATCGATGAATGGTTTCCACCATTTGTGGGAATAATGCACTGACGCTCTCGTTGATAAGATCCTGGAAAAAATGTATTGACTCCTCATCGTCCAAGTCCAACCGGAACTTCTCTTGAAGCTACAGAAGGAAAGTTGAAGTTGGATCTCAGAATGAATAAGAGTAAATTATGGCTTAACATGGATAGAGAAGTAATTAAAACAAGAAATCACCTTAAGAATGCCTTTTTCAGGATCAGAAGCTATATCAGGAATGTTGGACCCCGCCATCAAATGGAACAGATTTAGTACTAGGTTGCTTGATTTCCTTAGGATATTGTATGCTTCACAACAGTATGATTTGAACCGGGTATAGTATTGACTGCAAGAGAACAAACAGAAGAAAAAGGAAAATATTATGTCTAGTTGTCTACCAGGCTACCAGCAGTGTCATGCTCCACCAACAACAATACAAGAATCACCCTTACGGATCCAAAACATGCCATGCACAATGATGGATGCCACCAAGGCACCAGACCCACCATTAAGGCTAAACCCAACCTGAAATGCAATAAAATTCCCCAGCACAAATATACATGACAAATTGGGGACCACCTGCCCCTCAAAAATACACACGACAGTTATATAGAATAAGCTAGAATGCAAATCCTAGCGCATGTTATAATTTACCAAAACAGTGCATAATTTACATCAAATGGCAGCAAGCCCGTCCAACTGTCTACATGTCAAGTGATACAAAAGGATATATGCAAAATATAATGAACATGTAGCAACTGAAATGTCTGTTTTCACTTATTTTCGTTTTTCTTCTTTTCTTTTTCCAGTTTAGCACATATATGAAGCACAGAAAGAGCTCGTGCAACATTTGCAGATAAATGCACAAAACATAACTCAGATGTAGAACCTAATAGCTTAGATTTATGTCAAATACCTTTCTGCTCCGCCCATAGCTTCAACCATTTCTTTGCAAAGTTTCATAGGTGGTGGAAAGGGCTTAGGATCTCGACCAAGAATAAAACCAAAATCAACATGGAAAAGACGGCCATCATCCTGGAGCAGCAAATTATCAAGGTGCCTACGCACCAAGAAGATAAATAAGATAAGAGCTCCATTTTTAATACAATAAAAAATTCACAGGATGCAGTTCAGCAGAGATGTTAATTTCAGGTTTATTAAGATGATGTTCCATTGCGAAATAGCTAAAATATCACATGGTAAACTATGACTGTGAATGATGACCAACATTACCCCAAATCCTGAGGGAAACAAAAAATGATAACTTACGCTATTAAAGAAAATAAAAGCAAAGAAAAATAAAGAACAAATTAGTGTGGCAGCGAAATTATTTCCACACAGATTGGCACACTAGGGATCACCTGTCACCAATGCCCAGTATATATGTGATAACAGAGTACCCTGCGCAACTTTTAATAAATGTTTCAAGACACATGGCAGTAATCCCGAATGGTCCATCTTCATCAGGATGAAATTTTTGCAGGTAG